TGGGGGGGGGAATATTTTCCCTGCAGGATGTGAAAATGCATTAATCCAGAACTTCCCAGCCTAGCTCTTCCCATTCATCTCTAAATCATCTTGAGTAGTTCCACTATGAACTCTAAAACAAGCAGATACCAGATTAACAGATAGCTCAGAATATTTTTGGATATTGTTATTTCCCCTACTCAAATCTGGTAAGATGACAATATTAATAGAAACACATTTTTTCCACATAGTAATTTGATTCATTAAATATCCAGATACATAACTCCTCCCTTTTAGGCTGTTGTATAGATAACTGACATAGTGTATTGTGAAGGTGAAGGGCATTTAGCACAGAAAAAGTGCTATATAAGTATTCAATATACTATTATCAAAGAATAACCATGGCTGCGGTCACACGGAACATTAGCCACGCAAGAGAGACGGAAGACAGGCGGATTTTCCAGGCGTGATCTCACCGGCACATCTGGGAAGCCCACGCCCCCCCCCCCCCCCGCAGTTTCCTGCCCGTGTGACCGGAGCCCTTCAGCGGCTTCTGCATATTAACTACTCACTAACTCTGGCCCCCGTCACACGGGGCAGATAATGTGGGGGGGAGGCGTGGCTGTTTGCCCTGGAGCAAAATAAAGCAGGGTAGCCTGATCACATGGTCACTCGAGTCTTCGCGCTTAGGCTGTTAGCTGGCGATCACATAGCGATGCTGGAGCGTGGCAAAGAAGCGGCGTGGCATTTCGTGTTTGTGTGCATGCGCAGTTCCGCAGAGCAGCACTGCTTTCAGTTATGTGTTTGTGTGCATGTGCTTACGAAAAATATCCGGTTTGCGACGGGACGTGGACAGGGGCCGGATGCCACGGGATACTAGCACTCCCGCGATCAGACGCCCACCCCTGCTCCACGTTTTCGAGATACTAGTGCACTTTCTGGCGTACTTTTTTTACTGCGCATCTTCGGCAGGACGCCACGGGTGCACTATGCTTCCCAGATGTTGCAGTGTGACCGCGCCCTGAAAATCTGCCTAATATTTGTGCCTTTAGCGCGGCAAATCCTCCGTGTGAACAGGGCCTCTATTAAATTGTTAAAACTGTAGTAAATTCCTGGATTTCATTTTAAATAAATAGCACCTCTGTTCACCTGGATTTTTGAGAATTTATTTTTAGATGCCCTTAAAATTAAGTTGTGTTGTACTTGGAGAAACCCTGTGTGTTGCAGTCAGCATTACTTGGATCCTTTTAATCAAAGGTACCTGTGACTTAAAAGAAAATCAATAGCATAATAAAGTTTAAGAATATCCCCATCTCATAATTAACATGAATACTTTCCCTGTCAGAGATAAAACCATAGTTTGTCTGGCTCCATAGGTAGTTGGCAGATGGTATGAAGGCTGTGTTCTCTGAATTCTAGTGTCCTAAATGCATCCTCCAGCAGAAAGAAAAACATGACTATCAAAAAGTCAATTGTCATTCTGTGTCTTTAGAAAAATTCCCATTAAAGATAAAGCCAATTTTAATTAGATTAAGTATCCAATTACTGTAATTACATTTTTTTTAAAATCACATCATGAAGATGACCCTTTTAAAAAGGGTTACGAGAATAATTAGTGTATTCATATTAACCAAAATGTATTGGATAATATTTATACCCAGAAGGCAAAGTACATTACACATATTTCACCTTTGGGGAAACCTTGTAAATGTTTTGGCAGTAGTATGAATATTTATAGGCAGGGATGTGCTTTAGCAAGATTATGTGAGAAAGCATTTATATGCTCACAATTTTTTACCCAAGGGTAAAGTATACATAAAATGTAGTGCAGAGATTATGGATATGCAAAGTACAATTTAAGCAGAGGTGCTTTATATCAGTTTGTTTAATTAACTGGAGCAGACTATTTTCCTCATTTTTACATCCAAATGACCCAGAGTATCCAACTGTTAGTCCCCTTTTTACTCAGTGACAACTAAGACAACAAAACTGGGAAAGACTCATATAAGATGTAGAATTCCGATTAGGTATGGACTGGGCATTAATCAAGATGGGCGATGTTGCATAGCCTACAGTCCTGTCACAAGAACACAACCAAGACTACTGCTTGAATGGCTACCATGGGCCACTGTAAACTGCTGTCTGCAAAGCTACCATTGGCAATACAGGTGCTGTGAAGCCTGGAAGCTAACCCCCCCCCCCCCCCCCCCCCGCCGGCGGAAATGTCACACTGATCTATACAAATAAATGAACCGTGTATCTCCGGCTGCCATTAAGATAAAGCAACGCATCTGAAATAACTTTCACCACCTGAAAGCAATCTTAAAGCTTAAATAGATACTTCCCCCCCACGAAAATATTGTTTAAGTGATTTCCAGTTACACAGGTCCGGGAGGAAAGCAGGAAGAGTCCATAATAGTTATCATAAGGTTTCAACTGGCAATGCTGTTGTGGTTGCCTAACAATGGCCACACATTTGTTTTGTAAAAGTATATGTGCTGCTTCTATTATTTGGGAGGGGGTTAAATGGTCTTGCTCTGTCCCTCCAGTTTTTTCTGTAGGCCTGGGCCTTTTCGCGATCTACCTGTTGGACATACCTGAGATATATTGATGACTGAAGTTTGTTGAACTCTAATTACCACATTTACTCAAAAGGAAGACAACCTTGAATATAAGATGACTGAACAAAACAAGAGAGGGTAAGACAGACAGAGATTTCCTTCTCAAATTAGCCTCTGTCTTTCCAGCCTCACTCCACAACAGCAGCCTTGGCTTCTGGCATTGCATTTGCACCTCTCTACCAATCCAGTCTATCTGGAACCAGTAAGCATGGAAGGAAGACAGTGTACCTTGTAGTTCTGTTACAGGAGTCAGGGGTCATTTTGTAGAAAAAGAGGTGCAGGAGCTCATTTGCATATGCCACACCCCCTGACATCACCAGAAGTGTGTCAGAAGGCAACACCCAACGCTCGGGCTCCACTGGACTGCTTTGGATTGCTAGCTATTGGGGTGGGGTGGGGTGCAGATAATAATAATAATAATGCTTTCAATTTATTAATCGCTTTCCCCACAAGTGAGCTCAAAGTGATTTGCAGTTACTCTTTAGACAGGGAACTAAATGTTTTTCATAGGGGATAGGGAAGACAACATATAATTCATTTAAGTTGCACACGCCATACTGCCCGGTGGAAACGTTTCTGGCTTGACTCAGTCATGTTCCGAACAGCTGCATCGCCACACTGCCACCGCCTGGCCGGAGCACCCCACTGCAGGGATTTGTCCTCACAGAGGAGGGAGAGCTTGTACCTGAATAAAACTTGGTCTTAAAGGTGCCACTGGACTGTTTGGGGCTGGGGGGCGGCTCTGCAACTTACCTGGCTGCTTCTTGCTCTGACTGAAGGCTGCTGGGAGCAGGGGGGTGGGGCTTGTTGCATGTGCCCGTCCCCAGGGCTCTTTACTGCCAGAGCTCCGCTCCTGCAGGAAATGACCCCTGTAGGAGCTGCTTCCAGCTTCTTCCCCAGCTGATGGAGGGGCTGCCCTTTCTCTTCCCCCACTTTCCATCTGAGCCACAAAGCATGACGGAAAGCAGCACTGGCAGCGCTTCCAACCTGTGAGACTGAGCTGCTCACCCTTTTGCCTGTCTCTGGAGGCATGGCAGAAGTAGGGTGGCTCTGGATCAGCTAGGTTGTGGGAATGGCAGCCCTCTCAGCAGGCACCACCCAGTCATAGAAAGGGGGGGGGGCACCTTTAACTTTATTCAGCTTTATTTAACTTAAACTTGAAGTTTAAGACGTCCCCTTTCAAAGCCCCTAAAAGGTTTATCTTTTCAATACAGTATCTTTGCTTTTGTGCAGTACACCTGCAGTCCCAACAGGTAAGGGAAAAAAATGTGAAAATCGGAATTCAGTCGTGATTGACAGAATGAAGACCCCCCCCTCCTTCGCTGTTCTCATACGGCTTCAAAGCAAAAGAGGTTCAAAGGTGGTTTGCCATTGCCTGCCTCTGTGTAGTGACCCCGGACTTTCTTAGTGGCCTCCCATTCAAATCCTAACCAGGCTGGACCCTGCTTAGCTTCTCCAGATCGGGCTACTCCAGAACCACCCCCCCCCCCATGCAGGGCAACTCCATATGGCGATACTTAAAGAGGTGGGAAGGTCACAGCGTTCCGTGCGCCTTGGTGTTTAGTCATGCCGGCCATGTGACCACGGAAACGTCTTCGGACAGCGCTGGCTCTTTGGCTTGGAAACGGAGATGGGCGCCGCAACCCTAGAACGGACTCGACTGGCTTTCGAGCAAGGGAACCTTTACCTTTACTATGGAGGCCAAAATGCCTTACAGTAGCTGCGGTGGCTCAAGTGGTTAAGACGCTGAACTGCAGGCTGTGGAAGGTCAGTAGTTCAGCAGTTCGAGACCTGAGTGTGCCGCATGACGGAGTGAGCTCCCATCTCTAGTTCCAGCTCCTGCCAACCTAGCAGTTCGAAAGCAAGAAATTGCAAGTAGATAAATAGGGACCACTTCGGTGGGAAGGTAACAGCGTTCCCTGCGCCTTGGTGTTTAGTCATGCCGGCCACATGACCACGGAAACGTCTTCGGACAGCGCTGGCTCTTCGGCTTTGAAACGGAGATGAGCACCGCAACCCTAGAGTCAGATTCGACTGGCTTTCGAGCAAGGGAACCTTTACCTTTACCCTTACAGCGACGGCGCCACCCCCTTCCAAGCCCCCCTCCCTCTTCCTCCCGCCGCACAGCCTCAAGAAGAACCGACAACAGCCGGGGCACGCTTCACACCACTCTTCTTCTTCTGGCTCTCAACGTCCTGCTCTTAGCCGCGGTCCCGACGGCAGCATGACCGTCTGGCCGCGGCTTTTCCCAAACAGCGGCAGAGCACGCGCCTCGTGAGCACGCGCGCCGGGCGACAAGCCGCGTCGAAGGCTCGCGCTCCCCTCCCCACCCGTGTTTAAGAGACGAGAGGATGTGACGTTTCCGACAGAAACGATCGTTTCCGGCTGCTGGCTCCTGTCGGCCGGAGACCTCGCTTGCTGGGGTCGGCCTGACGCCGGGGGCGCTCACCATGGGGCACGCGACGTTTCGGAAGGTGGCTGCCGCCTCGTGCGTCGTGCTGTGCGTGTCGCTGCTGCTGCCCAAGCTCTTCTTCTCGCGGGTCTGGTCTCGGCAGCAGGAGCTCGGCCCCACAGCCCCCCCCCCCACGGCGCCCGCCACGACGGAGGGTAAGAGGCCGCTCTTCGCTCCGCGGACCGCTGAGCCCTGCGCCTCCGTCCGTCCGTCTCCTCCTCCACCATGTAGATTTTCGGTGTGTGCTCTCGGAAGCTGGAGGGTTAGACCCAGGTTGTGAGCTGAAGGGAGCCGCCCTTTCTGCCCTTAACGCAAATCACAAGGGTGTTTTGCGATTATCATTATAACCTAGCCCTTAGGATGCTGCAAGGCTCTCTTTGCTGTATGGTAAGAAAAGGTAAAGGTTTCCCTTGCTCGAAAGCCAGTCCAGTCCGACTCTAGGGTTGCGGTGCTCATCTCCGTTTCCAAGCCGAAGAGCCAGCGCTGCCCGAAGACGTTTCCGTGATCATGTGGCCGGCATGAGTAAACACCAAGGCGCACGGAACGCCGTTACCTTCCCACCAATACTTGCAATTTCTTGCTTATATTATGTGATAATATACGCACATCATAAATCCTATGGTAACCTTAAAGAGGAACACATTTATATTTGCGTAAGGTTTGGGGGACGAGTCTGCTAGTTTTTGACTTGTGTGTGTGTTTGCTGTACTGCCACTAACCATTCTGACATCGAATAGTCACAGTTCTGCCCAGGGCTGTATGTTGGGTGTTGACTTGTCCGATCCCTATGGCTGATCAGCTAGGTTTTAGACACAGGGAAATCTGTCAATTTGGGGCTGTTATTGCCTCTGGCTTTTAAAAGGTGCTGTTAGGTTTGTATTAATTAGCTTCTGAGAGAGGGAATGGGTTAGGGTTGGGTTACCTTGGTGAATATTAAAAATAATCTTGTAACTTTTCACATTACAGAATTAGCATCTTCAATCTTCTGTGTATTTCCACTTAAGATGTCACATTGGCTACACAGGTAGCCTGCACGCAGGAGCAGTTAAGTATGAGGAAATCATTGAGTTTAGACTGGAGTAACTCTTATAGGATTACATTGTTAGTATCCTACAATTTTGTCTCCTCCAACCCTTTTTTTTATCACCACCAAAAAAGTTTCACTTTAACTCAGATGCTGTTCTACTTTTTTTGTACAACAGAATTTCAGTGTCCGGCAACATGTTTTTATGTCAGTTGCTCCTTTCTTATTTTAGAACTCTCTTATATATCATTGGAAAAGAAAAAAAGTTATACAGGCCCCGGTCACACGGCAAAGTTGCCGCAGGAGAGGCACGGGAGTCCCACATATTTTCCGGGTGCAATCTCACCCCAACATCTGGGAAGTGTAGTGCTCCCGTGGCTCCCCGCTGAAGGTGCGGAGTTAAAAACTAGTACCAAGGGCGGGCGTCTGATCGCATTCCCGGTTAACTTACGTGGCATCCGGCGCCCGCCGCTGTTCGTCTCCACAGGTTGCGCAACAGCGCATGCACACAAAGAGCAATTGCTAGTGCGATCACGCAGCGCGGCTTCTGTGCCGCGCTGCAGGATACCCGTCTGATCGGCATTTCCCCCGAACCATGGGACCTCGACCAGGACGTATGCTCAAGCAGCCATGCGTTAGTTTCCTCCGGGGCAATTAGCCACGCCTCCCCCCGTGATATTCGGCCCGTGTGACCGGGGCCACAGTATTGTTACCATCATCTGATACCATTATATTTATCTTACATCACAGTATTGTTTCTTTCCAACTTCCATGTTCAGAGGCAGTCAACCCAGTGCCAAGAGGCAACCTCAAGGGAAGGCCTCAGTCTCTATGCACTGTTGCTGGTCCTCCAGAGGAACTGGTTGTGTGTGAGACATGATGCTGGACTAGATGGACCACTGGTCTGATCCAGCAGGGCTCTTCTTGTGTTCAGTTTGTTTTTAGTTTTATTTCTTATGTTTGGTAAGTTCTTCAGCAAAGCATTGGAGCATCACAATTGCGTTGTAGTCATCATGTTCATTTTTATGTTTTTTAAAATCCCCATGTTGTTAATTCTTCATTGCTTTGGATATTTTATATGAAATAAACAAGAGTTTTGGTTACTTTTATTGTCTGTGCTTCATGTGTGTGTTTTTTTTTACTGGGCAGCCAGTTTTCATAAGCATTTGTGTCAACCATCTCACTGTCGTATAGTTGTCCTTCGCTTTAGTCTATCTGCTAATGGATATCTGTAATTGTACAGGACAATGAAGACTTGCGTGTAGCCAGCACCATCATTATGATTGGTATGCATTACTGTGTTCCTGCAACTTTTTGTCTTCCCCACATGCAATTCATTCTGGTCCTGCAAACGTAGCCATATATTTTGGATTCAAAATGCTTACAACCCTTGATTCATTACTTATTCTTTTCATCTATTAAACAATGGCACTTGAATACCAACATAGACAATGAGTGGTAGAGTAGCATTTTGAATTCACGTCATTTCCTAGAAGCTGCAAAATTTACTATGGAAAGTACCTCTACTTCAAGTACATTTGTGTAATTCCTGAATCTTCAGATTAGTGCAAGAATTGTGCCTTTTCACAGTAAACTGTGCAGTCAAAGCAAAAAGCAGCTGGACATTGCTTGTTTGGATTCTTTGCTGCTGTTGACTTTAGCTGCCTGGCCAAATCTTGCTCTGAACACTACGGTATCTGACTGTTAAAATTTCAGATCAGTTGTTCCTCTCTTACTTGCAGTGCCACCCTATACAGAGTTACACAGTTCTAAATTCACTGAAGTCAATCGACTTAGAAGGCTGTAACTTGTTGGAAGAAGAGAGGCAATGAACTGGCCCCACCCTATGTCATTCACCATGACACTTTTCCAGAATACATGGGCAGGAGGGCTTGTTATAACCTCCACCAGTAGTGGATGTGTTTTATGTGATAAGTCTCTGCTGCTACTAAACTGTTCTTAGCAGACTTCAAAAGTATTAGAAAAGTAACTGCTGCTCAAGACAAATGGCAATAGGAGGTGAATGAGTGGGAGGGCTAGGGAGGGATTCTTTATCCACCTTCTCATATGGAAGTATATTATTCCTGCAGTGTGTCCCAGTATTAATTAATTTTGGTGAAGTGTCATGTGAGAAGACTATTGCGCTGTCATAATCTATGTGTTTGTTTTTAGTAATACAGCTACACTAATAAGAGTTTACATGTAACATGGAAGTGTTCCTGTAGGTAGTACTTAAGTTGAGATTAAAGCTTGATGAGTCACTGGAGGCCAGAGTGGATAAGAATCAATGTGGTTTTTTAAAATTAAAAATGGATTTTTGAATTTAAATTGGAATTTTAAATAAAATGCTTTTTGAGGAAAAATCTATTTAAGATACATTATAGTCCAAAGGTTATTTATCATGAAATGATTAGTTTTTAATTATGTAACACGAGGCTGTATGAGCCACCACAGACTGAAACCAGACTGAAAAGGGTCTAGAGCAGATGAGTTATCTGAGAAGACCTGGAGCTGGTCTGCTACTGCTGTCTCAATCACTTAGTGATGAACTTGTCTAATCCTCCTTTTAAAGCTATCTAAAGCTAGTGCTTTGTTGTTTTCTTGGGCGACTTCTCAGTGCTCAGTATTATACGGTGGACAACAAATAGTTTCTAATCACTTTCTCAATATCATGCTGTCCTTATCAAGATGGGCAGCCATGTTAGTCTGCCTGTAGCAGTAGAAAAGAGCAAGAGTCCAGGAGCACCTTAAAGACGAGTAGTGACTCACAAAAGCTCATACCCGGACACAAATTTTGTTAGTCTTTAAGGTGCCACTGGACTTTTGCTCTTTTCTAATGCTCTTTGCTTAAGGACAATTCTATTGTAGACATTTGGCAGAACAATCATAGGAAGGCAATTTCTGGACCAGAAATTTATACCAGAAAAATACCACTTGGCACGTGATTACACTGTTGGAGGCCTCATTGGTACTTTTTTATTCTGTGCCTAGTGGTCTCAGTTTGGAACAACTTTTTTCTGGTCCCTGTTGATTTTATATCTTGTATCTGCATGATTGTATTGTATTTTAGCCAATATGTTCCTCATTATACTTGACCTCTGAAGAAGACCTATGCAGGCCGAAACGCGTCAGGTCAAATCTATCAGCCCTTGTGTGTTATAATTTGTTATTTGTATATCACCTGCTACTTCCACCATTTACTTCATAAAAGGGGAACCTATGGGGTGATCTTGTTCCTATTTCCCATTTAGTGGCTCTGCTGTGTATGGCCTTGAAGGTACCAGAGAAAGACCTTAACAAAAAGCACAAAACCATCAAGCAATAGCCACATATATGAAAAGAGCTGGAAACATCCTTAAAGCCCAAGTGGCAAGGAAGACACCTCTGCCCCATCCCGCCTCATCCCTGCTTATAACAAACTCTGAAATACTTACAAGAAGCACAATAGCTATAAACACTTTGCAGCAGCAGCACGTTCCGGCAGCAATCAAGTCACCACCACGAACGACAAGGATTGAAACGCACCCCCCCACCCACTTAGGTTGCCAAGTCTTACCTTTAGCTGGAGCGGGGGACTCCCGGCTGTTTCCCGGAGCGCGCGCACGCCGCAACCACGTCACCCGGAAGTGACGTGATCACGCTGGGGCGGGGCCACGACCATCCGAGGGAAACCATAGAGTTTATTATTTAAGTCACTTCCGGGTGTCGTCCACGTCACGTACTTTGGCGGTGGAGTTCCCCCCGGGGCCCAATCTGCCGGCGGGGACTTGGCAAGCCTAGTTGTTATACTAAAACGAAACCTTCATCTGGGTTGTAAATATTAAGGCCAGCAAGAATGAGCCTTTAAGTAGAAAAACATGATTTATGTTGAGTCTTACTGGCTAGTGGTTTAAATTGTTATTTAAATCAAATCCACCCTGCTGGAGGCAGATAATATTCCTAAATGTAAGATAATTGAAGGTGATTGTGCCATTGGCAGATGTGTTGATTGCAGTTACTACTTTTTGTCCTCTTAGAATTCTAATCAGACAGGTAGGTTTTGAGGGTTGTTAAAGTCTTGTTGAGTAACAGAGGTTCTATCATACTTCCTTCAGCTCTAAAAACTGATCTCCAGCCTTAGGTCTGGTTTGG